CTACATTGGTTGTTTATATGTCTGCTTGCTCTATTATTAATGCTGAAAACCTATTAAAGTCTTCTTTAATGATTTTGGATTTTTATAGTCCTACTTTCTCTCATTGGTTTGTCTTATATATTTGAGTCCTTGCTATTGGTATATATAAATTTAGCATTGTCATATCTTTCTTATGAGTTAGCTTTTACATTATGGTGAAATATGCTCCTCTATCTGTGGAAATAATTCTACTCAGAAAATGTCATCATCTGTTATTAGTAATATCACAGCAACTTTCTTTTCTCTAGGATTTGAACATGAATACTTTTTCTATCCTTTGCATTCAATCTTTCTCTGTGTTTATATTCAAAGAGTGTCTCTTATATCAGCCATAGTTTTAAGGTTTTTTGAATTTGGCTTAATTATCTTAGCTCAGTAATCAGATTATTTGGTTCATTTTTCTGTATTTCCATTTACTTTTTATTCCAATTCTTGTGTTCTTTTAATTAAAATACTCATTTTATAATTTCATGTATTCTATTAGCTTATTAAAGAAATATTTTGTTATTCTAAAGATAAATCAAGGGATTGTAACACATTCCTTTTTAATAAAACTCTATCTTAAAATATTACTCTTAGGCAATACAATTTATTTATAACACTGAGACAATTCTTATACCCTTTCTGACTTCAGGTGAATGTTATAGTATTATAATCCCAAATATATTTTGAACTCTATGTTAGATTGCCTTATTTTATACAATAAGTATTACCCTCTATTTTCCCATGTAGTTACCCATTCTGATGTTGTTTCTTCCTGCATCATTACATTTCCTTCAGGTATAATTTTGTTTCTAAGTGAAGAATTCACTTTAGCATTTACTTCAGTGTAACTTTGCTGGTGATTAAATTATAAGCTTTTCTTTACCTTTGAACATTGCTATTTTGCTTTCATTTTTGAGGTACTGTGTATAAAATTCTGAGTTCTGCACTTTAAACATGGCCTTTTCCATTGTCTTTGAGTCTCCATTGCTCCTGTTGGAAAGTCAGATAACAGTCTTACCATTGCTCTTTTGAAGGTAATGAGTTCTTTCCCACTCGCTATTTTGATGTTCTTTTTGATTTTGGAATTTTAGCAGTCTTACTATGATGTATCTTAATAAGTTTTTCTTCATGTTTATTTTCTTATAGATTTTTGAATTAATGGATCAGTGTCTTCCCTCAAGTTTGGAAAATTCTTTGATAGTACCTTTCAAATGCTGCATTTTCTTCATTCTTTTTTCTTTTCTTTATATGAATACAATTATGTGTATGTTACATATATCTACAAGATCCCACACCCTTTTCTGCAGAATCTATTTTTAAAGAAATTTCTATGCTTTAAACTGATTATGAGGGTCTCTTGATTCATTTTTAGTTTACTAATACTATGTTTGGTCTATCTGTTAAACATAGCTACTGAATTTTTTAACTTATTGTATTATTCAGCTCTAAAAATTGAATATTTTTCAAACTCAAGTTTTTCACTGTCTTTTCACTTAATTTCTTGAAAATACTAATCAAACTATCTCATAGTTTACACCTGATAATTTTTCAATTTTTGAATAATATGTATTTCTTATGCATGCAAATTAGGTTCAGTGTGATATGTCAATACATGCCCACAGCATATGCTGATCAAATTCAGGTTCTCTTTACCTACTTCCCCACACCCCAATCTCCAGTAGTCATTACTCTACATTTAGGTTGACTTTTTTTTAACTTCCACATGTGTTAAGAGAACATGCAGTATTTGTCTTTTTTGTGTCAGGCTCCTTTTACTTAATGTAATGTCCTCCAGTTTCACCCATGATAATGTTTTAATCACCTGTGGATCTTTTCTAATTTTCTGACTGTTTTCTTTCTTGGATTTTAGTCATTTGGCCCAAGTCCTGAAGTATCTATTAAGTTTGGGTTTGATGCTGTACATTCTAAATGAAAATTGTAGAAAATCCAGGTGAATTTATTTATATAAAATATTCCTCAAAGAAATTATTTTTCTGGTAGTTAGATAATATTTTGGCATATAACCTTGTGCTGATTTTAAGTTCTGCTTCAAGTACTTTGAGGACTTTCCTGTTTTGAGTTTTCCCTTACTACTACAGTGTAGTACTTCAAGATTGTCAATTCAAAATTGAGCATAATAAGTCCTCCCTTTGACGCCTGCTGAGTTGCACAAATTCGGAATGCTTACTTCTTCTTGGCCTTT